AATGAAGATTAGTTAAATGACCCGAGACGAAGTAGGATGCATCAAGCAGGACATACCAGATGATGCTTGCGAATGTACTTGGCAGTGCTGCCATTGTCATTGGCCAAGAGAAGACCAAGTATCTGAATCAAGAATCAAATATAAAACATGTTTTGGTCAAAAGTTTCAATCAACTAAACAGTAAGCTAAATACCTGCATTGCATGTCTGTGGAGCTGAATGGTGTGCAATCGCACAAGGCCTTCCTTATATTGAGAAAAGGCAATTAAAGAGCCCATAGCAACCGTTTGAAAGAGTGACTGAAGAGAGTTGTCCTCTATCAAACTTTGTGCAGCTGAAGGATGGCTAGACAATGCCTTCATTATATGTACAACACTGCCCTCTACCTACCATATGCAAAACAAAGGCACAATTTATAATCCAAATTCCGGAAACCATTTACATTTTATGGAAATGCTAAACATGTTAATGTTTGCTGTAATAAAAGTTATTTCCAAACTCTAATAATATTTAAAGATCTAAATTCCGACAGAATTATTTCTCGCCAACCTCAATCCCAAAATGAAAGAAGGATCAATGGCCCTATTTTGACATGGGTCCTCTTCAAATCATTAGAAATCCATTATGTACCCCGCACCTTTTCAATCTTTGGCTGCTCATTTGTATGTTAAGCTGAGTTCAAACTTATCTACCACCACCACCAGTGGACCAGAAACCCTATACCCAGTCTCAACTTCAATACTCACATCAAGTTCTACAAGACACAAATGAGCAAAGAAAACTATGGTTTCCTAGCTCACTATGATTCTAACTGCATATTACATGTCAAAAAAGAGATGCTCTTTTCTCTGCTTTATAATACCATTGGTTCAGTGCATTAGATAAAGTATGCTGGATCAAAGTCTCAAAGCCATATTACATTTTTAACCCCAGAAAACCCAGTTCTACAGTATCCTTCTAACACCCAAAAACAACATGCAATACATAAACAAATAAATAAATACACGCATATCACAACTTAAGAACTTCAATAATAATAATATGCACTAAAAAAAGTGCAACAATTTGACCTTATATATACTTGCAGTAAAGAGGAGAGAGTAAGCAAGGAGGAAGCTACCTCAAGCCGACGACGTGATGCAGCATCATCCTCTGGGTAGTTCTCTGCTAGATCTTCCTCTGTACTATGGCCCATGAATTGTTTTTGGCAACTCTCATCAGGGCCAAGAAGAGAATTGAGAGTATGAATGAGGCAGCACAAGATCCCGGAATCAAGAAGAGATTGTTTGTCAATAGGCTGTACAAAATTGACCATCCATTAATATTTGAAAAGATATGTGCATGCCACAACAATCAATTCATAACAAAACCTAGATGTGGTCGCTCATAACTCTGATTGTGTGCTTGCAAGCACCATCATTACTGCCTCAAACCCAATTATGTTGGGTTGATGGCATGAAATTTCTAGCGTCAACTGACAACTAGCTTTCAAACCATTACGGTCAGCATAATAAATATATGCAAGACTTCAGTGGCATAAAAAATAAGCTGGATGTACTTCACGTTTTAACCATCATATGAAGAGATAATGAGATGAAATTCCTATACTGTCATCATTATCGTCATGACTTGAGCTGTGTGCTAGCTAAGTGAATAAAAAGCAATCGTTTCCAAACTAGAATTAAAGAGAGTATATACCCCAGAAACAAGGACTTCCACTGCATATAATAAATTTGCACCAGGGCTGATCCCATCCTGTAGTTTAATGAATATTATCACAAATGCCATGTTGACAAACAAAAATACAGAATATATGAGAGTTCAAAAAGAAGGAATCAAGAACTTTCAACGCCAATATATCAAAGAACCTTAGTGATTTCAGAGAAAAATTCCAAGACACTCTTTACTTCCAAAGATCTTGTTTTGCTGCTAAGTGTTAACTTCTCAATATCCGTTACAAATGCTCTTCCAACAACAAAAGAAAAAATGTGTCTCAACTAACCTATAAAACAAAAAGTTTTCACAGTTGGTCAACTTGTCTTCATCGTGAGATTAAAACAGAAGAAGTAACACGTCATTTTTGGTGTGACTATCAGCTCCCTTGTATAACGCAATAAAAAAACATTAAGAAGCCAATAATACATGCAGAAAGATAGAAGGAGAGAGAGAGAGAGATGATATTCTCTTACATGGTAATTAACTGAGCTACATTTGTGTGTTGCCTTACTAGTCTACAAAAAATGTCAATGGTCATATTCAGGGCCTTTTCTTTCTCCTACAAAAGGAACGAAAGAAGTATAGATGGTAACTTCTTCCAATATATTCATCGAGAAAGTTAAGCTTTTTCTTTGCACAAACTTAGAGAGACCTTTTCCAAACTTGATGAGCGGAACTCTTCCCAAAATCTCTTGAAGTCCAATTCCAATTCATGTTTGTCTCTGCTATCAAGAGTTCGAAAAATGTACAAATACAATACAGACAAGAACATGATAGATCAGTTGCATTAGCGAAAGGAATAAAAAAATAAAGAAAGGTTAACTCATTATTCTCCCGTTTAATGCTGCAAGTAACTTTTATCATGAAGAAAGGAATAGAGATTAAAAAAATCAGCCCAATAAGACTGTTGACATGCAGACACATAACATGCAATTTTTGTGAGGGAGTTGTAAAATGTTGATCGGCTAAATTGACTTCTTATACCATACAGCAGAGTTATCTACAACTTGGGAGAAATGTTACTTGTTTGCTGCCACAACTTCCCAGCAATCACAATATTTGAAGAGTAATAATGAAAAGGTTACATCTTTGATGAGTCAGTTAGCTGGTTAGGTAACCATAATATTCTCATGAATAGGCTTACATGAAAATCAGGAAAATTTTACTCTCGACCACTGATTTATCTTTGTAAGTCCTCACACACATTTTATGTTGCTAATTACCAGTATTTTATTTTAGCGTAAATCCCATTCGAAAGGAAATCTGCATATTCTGTTCTTAGTTTGTTGCTTTGTTCATAATGCACCTTTTGCTTCCCATTTTGAACCCACTGCACAGAATTTCAAACTTGAAATCTATGCATGAAAAAATTTCAGTAAGAATGAAGCATCACACAAAGAAAGATTACATATCCCATCATATGCAAGCCAGACCTGGCGGGTTTAACTCAGCTGTTCAAAGTAACGATGCCTAAATATTACTCCAGTAAAACTTAGGTGAAAGTGAAGAAGATTGCAATTTGGTGAAGTTACATAAAAACGCGTTATGTTTGTTTTCTCATAGAGCAATCAATACCAGTTCATGTTGTGAGACTTAGCTGCAACCAAGTAAAAGCACAAGTCAATGGGGAGCAACAGTGGCATTGTGAGAGAGAAGTATTGCACCTCGAAGGAGAAGAAGCGAAGTCGAGATGGCTGCTGGCAGAAATGGGATAGCTCTCGGGGAAAGACGAAGCGGCAGCATGAGTAGGGGAGCAGACAGTAGAGGGAGGCTGAGAGAGGCCGACCTTTTCCTTAAAGTCCTTGAGCAATGTCGCCCATTTCATCGTCCTCCCAGCCTATTTCCCAACCATAAAAGGCCCTCTCTCATCCGACGAGTTCAACGCGGGAAGCAGATCCGATCCAGGTCTAGAAGGATCTTCCAGCTCAAAGCACAATCAGAAAGTAACGATTTTCCATCACCCCTCTCATCAACACAGTCACTGAAATTCAAGGAAAATAACAAATTGAACGAGAGCGGCAGGATCCGGATAGTTATTTTGGATGGATATAACCAATCGGGCGGATTTTGTTGCTTGATGTTGTTCGGAAGATGATCCAGCTGTATTGCTCCTGTTAATTGTTCAGAGAAACTATAGGAGCAGCCAATCTAGCCATAGAAGACGACGAGAGAGAAGAAGAAAAGGAGGAAGAAGAAGAAGAAGAAGAAGAAGAAGAAGGAAAATGGTCGCGCTTCGACTCCTTCGAGGAACTGGGCGAAGAAAAAGGCCAATCTGCCTTCTCCGTTTAGATTTTCCGTTTGAAATCATCCGCGCCTTTCTCGCTTTAAGAAGTCCAAAGTCTGCAGTCTGCACATCCTCATTGATACCGGTAGACTTATTTTTATTTGATCTAATTTTGTAAAATTATATTTTTCACTTAGTGTATCAAATAATGGAGTCGCGCTATATCTAAATTAATATATGAAACAATTTCAAATATAACTACAATCAGATTAGATTGGATCAAATCTTACAGCACGTTTGGAAATAGCGTTAGAGATTAGCGTAAGCGTTTCAGATAAAATTTTAAAGGTGCAGATTACTTTAAAAACGCCAACGCTGCCCGTAGATAGCCTTTCAAAATGCTAACGTTATTCCCAAACATGCCCTTAATAAAGTTATATCAGATCAATCAAATTAGAAGAACATAACAAGCTATTAATACGTGTTACGGAGTATAAATTTTTTGAAGACAATTGTTTTTGTCTTTTACTAGGTTCAATATTGGTTTCTATATTAAGTTATTCAAAAAATTCAAATTGAGAAAAGCCCTATAAGCATTAAAAAAATCTAAAATGACGTCCAATTTAATTTAAACATTTTAGATGGGTTGTCAATTCAATAGTTTTAATGTCATGTTAGCTAAAACTATTTTTCGTAATTAAGTTTGAAGTTCATCAAGCTAGACTAAAGTAGTGATGTAAGATCCAATGATTTCCCGGAGCATTGTGTAAAAAAGATTTTGAAAGTATTATTGTATAATCGTTTGGATCCGAGAGTATTTGTGTAATTTTTTTTCTTTCTACAAACTTAAAAAATATAGGGTTTGATATCTTTTTCAACCGACGACCACACCCTGCCACTGGCTACAACTATCACCGCTAACAACCCCCGCCTATCATGGACCAAAGCATTACTTTAATTTTTTTCAAACAACTTAAATTCATAAACCGTATTATTTCCTCTTGGATTTTAAAATACATACTCCGTATTATATACTCCGTAATGTATACCTCGAAAACTCGCCAAACGGTGCCCTTAAAAAAAGATGTACTCCGTACTACAAAGTAGGGGTGGATAGGGTTCCAATTTCGAACCAATACCAAAACCAGAATCACCCGAAATCGTTAGGTGACGGTTCTTGCTCCAATTCTCAATTTTTGGTAACAAACCAGGGTCGGTGCCGTCGATTTTTATAATTCTTTTTTAATGTTTTAGTAGTTATTTTCAATTTGTTTGCGGTTAATTCACAATATTTAACATCAAGAAAAGACTATGAAGTCAACAGTATTCTTGTTTCCTCAAATTAAATTTTACAATAATGTAATTTGAGACAGGGCCGGTAATAAGGATCTTCCTATGCATCTCCTCACAGGCTGATAATCCAAAATGAATATGGCTACCAAATAGGCTCATAATAATATGGTACAATTTCTTGACATTACATTGCAAAATTTTGTCAATTAAATAACTAACAACTTTTTGACATTAGATTCAATCTTTTAATGGGGTAATATCTGCGTACACACGTCATTCCCAGACTTCACTGTCCCGTGGACTCTACCGAGTTTTTTGTTGTTTTCTTGTTCCCTTCAAGGTTCTTGAGCGCTTACGCGGCTATGAAGTTCCAGCATTTCTTGATGGTTTGGGTCCACGGAGAGAGCAGCGCGACAGTCTCGCAATGCAGCGATGACATCACCGATGTGTTCGTGGAAGGCGGCTCTGAGGTGTAAGAGGTGGAGATCTGCTTTGAACGCGATCGCCCTCGTCAGTTCTGCAACCGCTTCCTTCTCCTTCCGGTTGTCCATCAACACTGCCCAAATAAACTCACTATTCAGCCTCAAGCCAAACAGAGCCCTTATTTTTAAGGGACATATTACTATGGACTAAAATGTGTTCTACTCCGGGGTATATTGCCAAAACAAGAATATCAATGTTTATACACGGGTTTTGTTAGGTTCAAAAGTTTCTTACCCGCAGCCCGGTATCGGTATGGGTAAACCCGAAGAGGGTCCAACCGAGTGGCCATCTCAAGATCTGCAATAGTGAGCTCTCGTTCGCAGTACTCCGACCTCTTCTCGTATGCAGACGCATTGTTCTTGGAGTTCTCAATCAGTTTGGTCATCTCATTGTACGCGGCGGTCTTGTCATTTCTCAAGAAGTGGACGCGAGCAAGGCCTTGGTGGGCCCGGGTGTGTCGGATTTCAAGGGCCCTTGTGTAGCAACCAACTGCAGCGTCTAGATTTTCGCAGTCGACATAAACACTGCCGAGATTGTTTAGTGCCTATCAAAATCCAATCAAACGAAATACGATTATTACAAAATATGAAAGCCACAAATCGTTGATGTAACAACGTAGGATTGTGAGATTTCAAGTTTCAACCCAAAACCAATTGGCGACAGGAGAAGTAATTCATAGTCCTTCTTTAGAATGGTTGTAGATCACACTTTTTTTGTGTCTATGCTCAAACCCCCAAGGGAAGATGATGAATTGTACCTGACCTTTGCGAAGCCTATCCGAAGGGCACCTCAAAGCTTCCTCAAGTAGTGAAATGACAGTTGAAGAACACGATGGATCCAAGCTAGAATCAGCCAATGCATAAGCTTTCAAGAAAAATGCTTCGAAAGATCGTTTGATCCGTATGGATTCGTCTGCTTTTCTCAGGCCTTCTTCATAATGACCAGTGTCGTATAACATCCATCCCTCATAAACTAGCCGTTCATGATCACTGGATGCATGCCGGCGAGCCAACTCTAAACTTCTCATTGCTGCTTCTGGACAATTCAATCTGACGTACAAGCAAAACAAAAAAGTTAAAATTGTTGGATAAATCAAGATCACAAAATATTATTGATCATATATAATTGATGATTACCTGAGCAAGAGTAGAGATTGTCTGAAGTAGAGCACGCCTTTGGGTGAATCAGACTCAAGCATCTGATATATAACCGAAAGGGATCCAATATCATCAACCAATGACCACCGTTCATACAGTTGCATCCAACAGTCTGCTTCAGTCCAGTCCTCAACATGCTCTCTCACGAGCGTGCGCAGTTGAAATGCCGGGACCCGCCCTTCGAACATCCTATACTCAGGACAGAGGGTAAGGATGGCTTGAACGTCACACAAGGCTGATTGGTAGTCTTCGACAGCAAGGTAGATACAAAACCTGAGCTCTAAACACTCCAATGCTAGTTTGAATCCGATGACCCGGTTGATTTCCGTGAGGGCGTTTTGGACATTTTGTTTTCTCATGAAGGATGATGCCCGATACATGTATGGGTAAGTCAATGTCGGGTCCAGTTCGGTCGCTCTCTCCAGATCATCCCAACTTTCGTTTCCTTCACAATGCAATGACCTCTCTTGGTACATCCATCCGAGGGCGTTTGTGGAAGATATTATTAAACTTAGTTTTTCATATGCCAAACTTTTACTACCCTTGATGTGAGTCATCACTCTAGCCAAGCCAACGATGGAATAAGTATGGCCCGCGTCAAATGCGGCTTGGAAGTGAACCTCGGCATCATCGTATTCTTTTCTAAGGAATCTAATGCACCCCAATTGATGACAAGCCACCATCTTCTGCCGGTCAGTTTCCGAGCAGTCGACCAACCGTTTCAAGAAACGGGCACCCGTCTCTGATCTCGGATCAAGCCCTATTGCCACTTCACTTAAGAAACAGTAAAGGGAAAACACAGCCGGACCAGCCATTGTTGAGTTTTGTTGACTATTAGTGTTGCTTAAAAGTTCAACCACTCGACTGTCATTCAGAGACTCGGGTAGGTTGCGGAGGATGACCTGCAAACATGATGCAGCAAGGACGGGGGCATCCTCTTGAAGGGCCCACTCCATTAGGTCCACGGCGTCCCTTCTAGAAGATACCAGAGAAGACAGCTTCCTATCACAAGTGTCCTTGAGGCCTTCGCAACAAAACTTATTGGAAAACACCAATATTTCTAACAAAAGGTCTGAGGTTACTTCTCTGTCCAGTGTATTCGTGAAGGTAAATTCACTTATCAGCTTAAAAGCCATTGGAGAAATGTCATTTTCGGACAAATCTATTTCATCACTATACGATTCTTTAAAACAACCATTTAGCATTGCTCTAAAAGGGGACGAAAGAGTGGCAATCTTTTTCCGGTCACATAAGATTTTTTCACGCCCGATTTGAAATGCAACTGTTCTTGAAGTGGTGGAATTTCGATAAGATACAGGAGGAGGGTTTGAGTATTTCACGGGAGGTAACTCGGAAGCTACATCTATCACCCCAAACAACTCGTTCGCACATTTACCACAAGATTCCACCAAGTCAAGGATGGAATCTTGGCCTTGCTTCTCATATTTCAACCATGCCCCGAAGATTAGTTTATCGTATACAGTTTCAGCTTTCAAGAACGCAGAACAAAGGCTTCTCTGCATTAATTTGGCTTCCCCCAGACCCTTAAACACATGAAACTGCAGAAGATGGAGGTATGACCTTTGGGTTGGAGGACAAAACTCGAGTTCTTCGTGAATTTGGGATAAAACCTCTACATAGTCAACCGGTTTGAAGTGGGGTAAAATGGGAGGTTGAGTGACCTTGATTAGAGAGTCTCTACAAACAATGACAAAAATACATTATCTCCTCGATCAACAATTCGAATCGGAAACCATCTAAAATGGGAATATAATGAGAATGCATCAAGAAGAAGAAAAAAAGTTTGAGGTTTTAGCTTACATAGACGAAGAACTATAGGAGAATTTGGGAAGTTTGCCCCTCTCGACTTGGAGCCATGACTGTGGGTTGATGGCTTTTAGCTGAGTTTCTCTGCAAGAATCTGAAGGGAAGAAGTTCTTCATGGGACATAACAGATGGAGCAACTCCCAGATCTCCACAGCAACCAGATGGTTCTAGCTACTTCTAATCTGCCCTCCGAGGGGGAAATGACCAAAAAGAAAGAAGACCTAAAAGCAGCAACTATTCACAAACACAACCCTAAGGATCAAGATCCAGCTTTCACACTCACAAGGCCAAGATTAAAACCCCAATCTATTACCTAAAAATACAATCTTTACCCAACAGGACCTTGGGATGCTACTGTTATAGCCAAAGATCGAAGCTTTACCAAAATCCGAAACACAGCAAGAAACCAGAAACGGAAAGTGTGAGCTAGACCACAAACCTTGTCTGCGTTGAAGTATTACTTTAGAATGACATTTGAAATCAATGTTCAGAGATTTTGATGAGAATCCAGTACAATTTCATCGAGCTTGCACTTTTATGTGTTTGGTAAGGAAAATGCTAGGGGTACGGGGTACACCAAATGTGTACAGCAAACATCCCCACCCCCTCCATCACCACACAAAAAATTCAAAAAAAAGTAAAAACTAAAAATAAAATAAAATGAAGGGTAGATAGGGAGGGTAATGTACATTTGGGGTACACCTTTGGTGTATCCCTAGCATACCCCGTTTGGTAAAGTTTATCTTTTTCCTATCTTTTCCTTTTTCACTTTTATTTTTTCTTAGATCACTCCCAATTTGGTGAGAAAAAAAAAATTAAATTTCCTAAGATTAAATTTCCTAAAAAGTTCGTTGATTTTAAGTATTTAATTTTTACATATCAAATATTAAAAATTTAGTCCTTAATTATTACAGTATATTGTTTTCCACAAATAGTCATATATTAACATTTCAGTTAAAAAAATGGATACAATTGTATATTCACATTTCTCTCTATCTTCAATTAAGCTTCCTCTCTCCTCTCTCTCTTCAATTAAGCTTCCTCTCTCCTCTCGTACTCAATCTCAAACCTGTCGTTATTTTTGAAGCTCTAAACCCAAAACTAAAACGATCATTCCTCTCTCAATTGTTCATCTTCCCGGTGGAACCCAAAATCAAAACCAATAACCTTCATGGATGAATTTATGAGTTAGTCTCAAGAAATTGCAAAGAAAACAAACCTTAAAACTCATCCATGAAGATTACTAGTTTCAATTTTATATTCCAGCAGGAGGACAAATTAAACAATTGAGAGAGGTAGGATGATTTCGGTTTTGAGTTCAAAGCTTCAAGCTCAGCGACGGGTTTGGGAAAGGCGTGCGAGAGGAGATAGAGGAAGCTTAATTGAGTAGAGAGAGGAGTGTGAATTCACAATTTTTTCAGGTTTTTAACATAAATATTAACAAAGTAACATTCGTGGAAAACAATATCATAATTGCAGACTAAATTATTGATATTTGATATGTATAGACTAAATATGTAAAACGGACTATAACTCAGGACCTTTTATGAAATTTACTCAAAAAAATTCTTCCCAATGTCTCTTGAAAATTTCTCTTCCATCCACTTCACTTTGTGTGTGATATGTATTTTTTGTTGCATCTAATCAATTACTATTTTCGTTCCAATTTTAATTACAATTTTATTTTCTCCATTCTCTCGATAACTTTTTTTAATTCTTGTGTTTTCATTGATTATTTAACAAAATAAAATACTCTTGTCACATCTTGTTTTGTAGAATTTTTGGTGTATTTTTTAGTATGTAATTTTTATTTTTTATTGATGTACCAATTTGTGTAATTTTGTTCTCATTCGAAACATTCATGTCTCTCTCCACAGTTGGTGTAAAAAAATTATAGTCCATGAATGTAAAAAAATCCTTTACCTGTGTTTTTTCAAACTATGAGAATGCTTTTTATTTTTTAAGACAAAAAGTTGCCTCATGTGAAAAAATCCACACAGGTGGGAGTGGGAGTGGTGATAGAGCATTTTTAGTGGGAAGAGAGTTGAGATACACATATTTTGTATCTTAAGGTGACCCTCCCTATAATGTCACATAAGTTTAAGCAATTTCAAAAATTAACTTTATGTACTCCCTATAGTGTCGCGACACGCTACCACTACTTCACAGGGCTACTAGCTCGAAGTCTTTCCCTCCTTGTTGATAAAAAAAAGTAAGTTTATGTACTCCGTATTTTGCTCACCTGATCTAATTGGTTTTTGATATGATTAGAATAGGTTTTGATCTAATCTAGTCTGATTTAATCTGAATGTAGTTATATTTAAAGTTATTTCTGATCTGATTTGATCTACATAGTAATATTCATATTAATTTTTATTATTTTAATTGGAAAATATAACTAATCAAGCACCTAACTTTTCATATAAGCTCTTCAACTAAACATGGATTAAAAAAGTTATTGATTAGGTAACTTTAGAGTGAAATTGTATGTATAAAAATTATTTGAGAGCAAAAGAGTAGTTAGTTAATATAATAAAAATTGCTACTGTGTAGTTTCTTAAATAATTAACATGAATTTTTCTATACAATAAACACTTATGAAAACTGATGCAAAGTACATTTAAATTTATTTTTGAAATCTCTATTTGAGGTAAAAATAATGTAGACATTTAATCTCAACTGGCCTATATTATGAGTCAATTACATATGAGTTTAAATAATAGTGATAATCGAAAAGATTTCATTTGAATTGTTCTCGACTGAAATTATCTATTTGCATACCTCCAATGATTTCAAAGTGTTAGTTTTATTTGATGTTTAACTTTTTCCAACCCCTCAAGTTTTTCCCTATGTTATATTAATTAGTACTACCTCCGTCCCAAAGTATTTGTCGAATTTGACTTTTTTGAGTCAAACTGGACAAATTTTAAATTCCAATTACTTTCAATTTGTATTACATAATAGCATAATGAAATACAATTTTGAAAGTTTTCAATACGATAAATTCAAAAAAATCATTTTTGTATTAAAATATTTTACGGTTTTTATTTAATTGAAGCTCAAAATTTGTCCAGTTTAACTCAAAAAAGTCAGACTGGACAAATAATTTGTGACAGAAGTAGTATATGTGAATGCTAAGAGTCGGTTTGAGTGTATATATTTCATTAGTATGGAGAGGTGAGAGACACAAAGTTTAAGAGGTGATTAGAGGGGGAACCTTCGACATTTTGATTGGTGTATTGTAACCCATTTCCATTTCCCATGCCCTTATTGTCATAATATAAATAGAAAAATGCTAGGGGTACACGGTGTACCCCAAATATCCCCACTCCCTCTTCGTCCACAATAATTGGCAAGAAACTCAATAAATAAATAAATAAATACAAATCAAATAAGAATGTGTGGTAGAAAAGTATGTGGTGTACAATTGGGATACACATTTTGGTGTACTCCTAGTATGGCTCATATAAATAATACGGAGTAGACCTGTCAAAAAGTGACCCGACCTGTTTTTGACCCG